CCCTGCTCTCCCAGATGTTCCCCTGCTCTTGCAGGTGGCTGCAGGAAGGTCAGGCTGTGCCCCAGCTGAGCTCCCTGTCCCATTCCAGCTGGGAATGCTGTGGGCACATTTGTATTGCTGAGGGAAAAGAACAGCAGCAAATTTGAGATTTCTTTGTGTTTGACTTCCTTCCTTCTCCCCCTTTATTCGACTTTTATTTCCATTTCTGAGTGCCTCCAGGACTAGCACAGGGATGGAAGACTGTCAGTAGCATTCCAAGATGATCCATTTAGCCAGACTCTGAGAAGTTTTATTGTGTTGCAACAGAATTTGCTGCACTTTTGTGCTACAAATTACTTTCTAATCTTTTGGTGGCATTCCTAGCTCTTTATTTCATTTTTCTATCACGTTATACCACATCAGGAGTTAATTCTTTTTCTTTGAGAGTGGGACAAATTCAATGTAATTGTTCATTTCAGCTGCTCAAGTCTTCTCTTGTCTGTGTATTTCACATCCCTTGCAACTGTATGGACACTTAATTTTTTTTTTCTCCTACACTCCTGTAGTAGCCGTAGCTCTTGTCTCAGGTAGAGGCAATAACAAAGCAGTGAATTTCTTTGGTATGTTTACTTCTGCTGCCAAATACTGGTAAATGCAATTGGGAAGCCGCTTGCCAGATGGAAATGAGATGAAATTACTCGTTCATTTCCCATGACAATATAAGGATGTTTTTATTCACTGTGTGAACAGACTTGACAGAAATTGGAGACTTAGGTTCATGTTAAGGTAGGCTAAAGTTCACCTGAATATCTGCTTTCTCCATGCTGTAATTTCATGTACTCCTTTTTAGCTCCTTTTAATTTTCATCCTCATTCTGTTCATGACTGACAGTTTTTGCTGTTAATTCTTTATTAAAATCACTCATTGATAATTTAAAGAAAGAAGGGAATTTCATATGAACTGGACATTTCAGCTCATAATAAAATGCTTTAACAGCTTCAATATCATTAAATAAAATCATATATATTTCAAAAAATTAGTCGTGGCCACTTCAAATGCTATTCAGTAGTTAAATTAATGAACAGGTGTAAAATGATAATTTTCAAGAATAATGTATGCTTCCTTTTTTTTTTCCTACAGAAGTACAAAAGTACTGATGGTAGGATTTTTTCCTAATTAAGTCTCCAAAGTATTTCAACCTGTTTATGTATGTTCTTTGCCATTATTATCATTAGCCCTGCTCAATGTGTTTTAAGCTTACATAAGGTTTTGTTTAGGGTTTGTATGCCCTGGCTGGGCTTGCAGGGTTTCAAGCAGGGCACTTGCAGTGGGATTAGAGGAGTTCCCAGCTGAAGGCACAGCTGGAGCTGCCCATGCTCTGGGAAATGTCAGATGAGCAGCAAACAATGCCTTGCAGCTTCTTGCATCAGCTTTTTCCCTCCAACACTGATAAACAAATGTGTTATTGCTAACTTAATAGAACTCTAAATTAGGAAAGAGTGAGTTCTGCAGTGCTGGTGTTTCCATCTGTGTGTGCTGGTCTCCAGAAGGGATCTGTGTGTGCTGAAGGGCCTGGGCTCTGCTTGGCCTGTCCTTCCCTGTGTGCAGGGATAGAATGTAAGGAAATAAAGGCAGTGCAGAAGGGACCCTCACACCTGAGGAGTGCAGCTGTGCCAATCACCAAAGATTAGGAACAGGTCACAGCTGTGGCCAGTAAGGAGAAGAGTGCTACAAAAGAGTGGGGTAGCTGGGTGAGGAGAGAGTTGGAGTTTGGTGGAGTTTGTTGGTTGTGCTGAGAAGGAGGAGTCAGTGCTGTGAGGAGCTGCCCATGAGAAAGCACTGAGAAGGTATGGCAGCTTTGCAATAAGATGACAAGGTCCCTGTCCCTCTTCTGTCTGTCTGAGGCCAGGTATAAAGAAAAGCCCTCCCAAAGCCTTGTACAGCTCTGATGGTGTGAGTAATTGTGCATGAGCAGCTCAGCACTCCCCAGGACACACTCACTGCTCCAGACCTGTTCTTTCAGTGAGTGCTCTATTGCTTCATCACCAGAGCTCAGAGTAAAGAACATTCCCCTCTGCTGCACCTTTGGATTTAAACCATCACCATTTCTGCCATGGAAACCTGGCTGTGGCAGCACCAGCTCTTGTGGTGTCTGTGGGACTTGCTTTGGAAAGAAGCTGGTTTTGAATGAGGATGTGAGCCAGCACAATTATCAAAGTGCTGTAATGAGCAATCACAGCCCTGAACTCCACGGTCTCTATGAAGCAATACAGCTGCTTCAGCTTCCACACTGATTTTTCATCTTGCTTTTCTGAGCTGCCCTGTGCTGGCTGCTAGAAAATCCTTCTTTCATCTCTCCCTTTGGTTCTGTGGCATCAAACCAAGGAGTGTCCTATCTTTGAACAGGCACTTGTGAAGGGAGAGCCTGACGAGGGCTGGCAGGTCGGTCAGCAATGGTGCGTTGGGTTCTGGGAAGTATCAAGTCTCTTTTTAATTGAGTTAATTATTTTTCCAAATTCCGCAATCCGTGGTTGTGTGACAGTTGAATCACTGCTGAGATGGATTGTGTGAGCAGAGCTTCTGATGCTCCATGTCATCTCAAGCATGGCTGAAATGGTGGTGGAGAGGTTCTAGGAACTGTGTCATCTAGAAATTTTATTGTGTCTCTTTCTGCCTGTGAATTTGGGCTTGCTAAGATTGGTGTTGATGCTGTATTGTGGCCTTAGTGCAGTCACAAAAGCATCTGGTTCTAGTGTTTCTCTGTTTTTTGTGAATTGGCATGAACTTTGAAAGATACAACTTTTTTGAAAGAACATTTCTTCTGGCCTTTTTCAAGTAGAAAAATTTTACTTTAACCTTAGACATCTGATGTTTGTTAAATGGATGCTCTGTAAGCAGTGGTGTTGCAGCCCTTCAGGCCTGAGTGGGTCAGAGCAGCGCTGGTTTGTTGTGAATGTGTGATGTGCTGTGGTTTGTTGTGAATGTGTGATGTGCTGTGGATTAAATGCAGTTCCTGATTTTACAGCCAGCAGAGTGCGCCTGCACACAGGTGAGGAGGGTGATAAGGGAAGCTCCTCTGTGCCCTGTACAGGCAGAGTTGCTGTTGTGAATTCTGCCTCAGCTCACCCTCTGTGTGTCTGTTTATCAAATATTATGTGTTTAAACCCCAAACCACATTTCCTTTTTTGCTACTGGAGCAGCTGAATAACTTTAATACCTGTTCTGCACTGGACTGGTGTGTCACTTCTGCCCTTGGGGTGTTTGTAACTTGGTCTTTCTGAAAATTGTATGAGAATTGAGAATTTCTTTTCTTGTGTGAATTACCACTGTAGAAAGAAAGTTTCCTTTCTGTGAGGTGATATTTGGTAACAAAAACATTTATTACTCTTGTTCTGCAGTCTGCAAGCCAGGGAGCTGGGTGTGTGTTTCATGCAGGTTTGTCTTTGGTGCTCCCAGCTCCTGAGACAGTCTGGGACCTGTTTGTGGTGTTCAGAGCTTTAAAGACTCAATTCCTGGAGGTCTGGAGGGTTCAGCTCTTGAACAGATCAGGTTTGCAGTAGGACACTCCTCTTCTTGGATCACACAAGCCCAGGCCTTGTCTCTGCTGTGATAGAACAAAACTTGTAATGAAGTTTGTTGCCTGCCCATGGGACAGCTCATTTTTAACTCTTGGTTGGCTTTTTGTTTGTGTTGTTGAGCACCTGGTCTCATTGCCTTGTTTAATTGAGAACAATTAGTGCTGAGGGCCTGATTAGTCAATGAAATGTCACTTTAGGGTTTTGGAAGGAGCTCATTGCAGCTGGGGGATGCTGGGCTTGTCTGGGGTGGGGGCTCAGGGCTTGGTTGTTGAATCATCTTTTTGTTCACTTTTCTCTGATTTAGGCTCTTTGGAGATAGCTGGGGCTGAGGGCACTGCCTGGGCTGGCTCAGGTAGTGCTGGCACAAACATGGCCACGATAAACTGATTATTCAGGGTTTTAAACCCAGCAGAATTCCTTTGTGCCAGATGTTTTCCTGCTGGTAATGGGTGTGAGGAGACAAATACCTGGTCTCTACATTCTTTTATTTTTTTATTAGAAAGATTGAAACAGGTTTTATGGTATTCTTCACGCTAAAAATTAACATTTTTTTCCTTAGGAAATACCTGTAATTAAACCCACAATGGCTCATTACAGTGCAACAAAAAATAGTGCTCAGAGAACAGAACTGTATTCAGTCTGCTCGAAACTTCATCTTAATTTGACTTTCCAGTTTTTCAGTTACTTTTGAATGACTTAAAATATTCATTAAGTTCAATTAATGTTAAGCACATTAAGATTCTGTTCCTTCAGTGCCAAGTATGTTATGTGATATTTAAAAGGAAATAATTCCTTGTTAATGGGTTTACTTAATGCTTAAGAAAATTCTGCAAAAATTGACTGTTTTAAATTATGCAAAAAATCAGCTTATATTTGAGGTACTCCAATGCCACATTTCTTTCCATATAATTTAAAGTGCTGAATATAAGACGAGTGAATCTTGCTAATTTAAAAGAAATCACTCTAAAATACACACTGTTTTCTAAGTTTTGTGCTTTACCACTGACAACATAATTAATGAAAACATACTTTTGTTCAGTGTGATAAATATCAAATTATTTATGTTGTTGGTTTTGGATGAAGAACTTACAAATGTTATTAATGTTTCAATAGAGGGCACTCATGTGCTTCGAGGTAACAAATCCCTGTATTTTTAAAAATGCTTGCAATGAATTGGAGCTGAACTGAAATTCCACGGGGTTAAAATACATAAATATTATTTGCTCAGGAAAATTGTTCATTGTCGTATTTTTATTCCTTGTTTCTCTCTATTTTGGACGTTTGCTTTGTTTGGATATTTTACAGCAGGTGGAGGCAGTGCAGTCACTTTGCCTTGAACTGATTGTAAAAGATGTATTATTATGGCTTGCTAATGGACTTGCTGTTAGCTAAGATGGAACTGTTGTAATAATGAATAGAATTTAATAAATACCTTCTTTCCAGCCAAAAAGCCTGTAGAAGAATCAGAAGAAAAGAAAGCAGCTCAGTCAAAGAAGAAGATCAAAGAATTAAGAGTTTTGGATGGAAAATCTGCACAAAATTTATGTAAGTGATGTGAAGGGCATCAGGTCAATGTCTAAGCAACATCTTCACCTCAGTGTTCATAAATTCTTCTTTCTTTTTGCATGTGCAATTGTTTTGTCTAAAAACTGCTAATTTGAACATGACTCTTAAATTCTGTGGTGTTTAAATACACATTCTGAATTCACTGCACAACTTGGGAAAAATGAAAAAAAGTAACATGGAAAAATGATTTAATGAATTCCTGGGGTTTTTGTCAGTTAATTCTCTCAATTAACTGACAAAATTAACTGCTCAGGACTGGAAGTGCAATTAAATGATCACTGATTTGGGCAGAGCACGGTGTGGGTGGGGTTTGTAGGATTTGTGGGATGGGTTTAGGGGCCATTCCAGATTGTTCCTTTGGTCAGAGCAATGCAGAAATGGAGGTTCAAGGCAGATTACCAAATTACCAAAGAGGCTACAGAGGTGCAGGTACTGCTGCTGCAGATGGGAACAAAACCAGCCCACTCGTGCCATCCAGCTTCTTTCTTCATTAATTATGGAGGCAAATCAATCATTAAGAGTAGCAGAGTCTTTTATTTGAATATTTATGGTGTTCAGAAACACCATAAATGTCACTGGTCCAACTGTGCCCATGGCAATAAGTGTATAAACCCAAATGTGGGCTGGTTTAATAATCCATGAGCAGAAAATGAACTATGATAGAAGAGTTCACAATTGATGGAAAACTTCAAATTTTGAAAGCTTGGATGCAGGATAATCAGCCACACTAGTTAGGCTGAATATAAAGCATTTTGTCACAATGTTATGCTGATCCATCTGTTAAGAATTCTTTGTAGTTTACTGAGTGGGGCTCTCTTGAGATTTTATAACATTCTGAGATCAAATTGCTTTGAGAGCTCCATTTTTGAAGGGTTTGAATTGTGTGTCTCTTGTATAAGTTCAGTTGCCCTAAAAGTGGTAGAGTTAGGGCATTTTTCTTACTTTGCCCACCTCTTCATTACCACTTTAATGTGAAATCTTTTCTAGAATATCGCATAAATATCATTGACCCAATTGTACAGCTACTCATACATGGTTATGGAACCAATAATAATAATAGCTAAAGATATTTATTATTGGCTGAGCAGTTCTGCTTAAGTAGGAATTCAGATGTCATTCATAAAGATAAAACTTTATTGGAAAGTAGCATTGCTAGGGAGCAGCTGAGGCTGAATTAAAAGTTAAAATTGTTGTCACAGTTTCATTTCTTAGAAAGGGAATTCATTATAAGTCAAAGTGCAGTAGTGTGCCTACCTAGCATTTGTTTATATGGGAGACTTAACTGGGGAACAATTTAGATGGAGATGTGACTTTTTGAGTTGCTAGCAATGGTTTGCCTTTGTATATCAATCTTTTTTGACCTTTTTGATTCTGATGATGTGTTACTGAATTTCAGCAATATTTTTGGGTTCCTTCCGTTTGCCTTACGAAGAAATAAAAAATATGATTTTAGAGGTGGATGAGGAGAAGCTGAGTGAATCCTTGATCCAGGTATGTGAAAATGCCTCTGCTTTTGGTTGTAGCTCATTTTCCACATGAAAATGGCAGGCAGGAGTAAGATTGGGAACATGAATAAGACTGCAAACCAATTCAATTTTTTCCTGACTATATTTGCCATTTATAAGATCTGTACAATTTTGGGTTGTTGACCTTTTTTCATAAGGTATTTTTAAGTGTACTTTGAATGTCTAATGATTTTAATTTTTTTTCTTTTTTTGCTGCTTCTGTCATGTTTTACACAGACCAGTTATTTCTTGATTGATATTTAATGAGCAAGGTGCAACCATTAGGGCAAAAGGAGATTGTAGAGAGACAAAACTCGTTGATGCTGTCAGGCCCTGAAAAATGATACTCTAACCTTTTAATACATTCCTCAAATCAGAGACTGCAGCAGAGCAGTTGATGTCTGTATTAAATAATTGCTGCTTTGATTTGATGTTTATATAAAGTTAGAGCTGCGTAAATAAAATAAACGTCCCGTAATTTCCTCGTGCATTTCCATGTTGTGGTATTTTGAGCATGTTATTTTTAATGTCTTAGGTAGTTTAATGTAACAAATTTGATATAATGCCTTGTTTGTTTTAGAACCTGGTGAAGAATCTTCCTGAGCAGAAGGAGCTCAATGCCTTAGCTGAATTAAAGGATGAATACAACGACCTTGCTGAGCCCGAGCAGTTTGGAGTTGTGGTATGTATCAGTGAACAGAGTTCCCTTTTGGCACATAAAAAGAAAGAAATTTAAGGATAAAAATCTTCTTTTAGTGTTTTTGCATGACCTGCAGTAGGAAAAGTTACTATTTCCTGATGAGTAGTAATCAGAAAATCTCTTCAGTGTGTATTGGGCCAGCCTGGGCAGGGCTGTGATCATCCTTAGGGTCATTTCCAATGTGAACCCCTCTCATTCTGGGTGTTTTTCTGGAAGAAATTACAGTATAGCCTTAAAAGCAACAGGCACTCAGGTGCCAGAGCAAATCTTTTGTCTGCCTGTCTTGCCTTGAATGTTTATTGAACAGTTCTGGAGAACCCTCTGCCTCCAAGCAGATAAATTCCAGGAGCCCGCAGAAGACCCAGTTACCCCTTGGCCTTGACAACTCTGATAAATTTGTTTTGTATCAAAACCTGTAAGCAGCTGAAAGAGTTAATATATCCATATTTTACATGTATATATATATCCATATTTTCTGTGTATTTATGCATACACATATCAAACATCTGTATTTATACCACCCAACCTTGCAGGATGGCTCAAGGAGAGGTGTGAATTTATACCAGAGCTGAAACTGTACCTTGTGTTCTGCTCCTCTCATGCAATTTGCACTTTTAAAAATGCAATATTTTAATGCGTTGTTTTAAAAATATTATATATTAAATGCAAATCTACACTTTTACTGAGTATTTATTAAAATAAATTATTATTCAGTCATAAGTATCTTAAATACTTAGCATATCTGTATTTTGGTACATTAAGATCTGCAGGATACAGATGTGGTGGACACTGCTC